TATATGTATATATGTGTACATCATTTTATAAGGTGTCAATGTATGTATAACATTGTATGTATATAATTAATATACAGTACCCGCCAAAAATCCCGGGTCACCTAAATAATTTTTAAATGGTTCGAGATATAGGACTGAAATTTACAGGAATACAACGGGATTGTAAAATCTATCATTGAATCTCAAAGAAAGCCATCTTAAGAAACTGAAAATTTTAAATGGCATGTGAGTCGAGTGAAGGCTCGTTTGAAAGGGCTTTTCGAGGTAAGAACAACGCGGATTGACCGAAATCTCTAAGATTTTTTTTCACAGAGTTAGAGGCTCCGCAAAATAAAAGGAACAGCGAATAGAAAATTTCAACCTATCAGAAATCATGTATTGTGGAATACACAGTTTCTGATAGATTGAAATTTTTATTTTCTGTTCTCTGTTCCTTTTATTGTGCGGAGCCCCTTATGATCATTGAACATGTTATTTATCTCTTGTGTGCATCTTGGCTCACGTAAACAATTTTATCACATAAACAATTTTTTCATATCGTATGCCGGTTATATATGATATGAAACAGTAATGTTCTTTCAAAGAGCGATACATTACTTATCTACTTATCTTCTTTCTTTACTTTAATAATTTTCATTCTAGTATATTTCTATTGTCAGAAAATGCTTTTGACCGGAAAAGGTGAGCTCCATATTTGAATAACAATATTCAAATGATTATATTTATAATAATTATGCGAAAAAAATCGTAGAGATCTCGATCGGTTCACATTGTTCCCGTCTTGAAAAATCCTTTCAAACGAGCCTTTATTCGATTTTATTTAAGATTTTCAGACCCCCTTCTCCTCCCTCCCTCCGGGAATATTAAAGTAGGTTTTTGAGGTTCAATATAGATAGATTTTACGATCTCTGTAAATTTCAATCCTACATCTCGAATCATTCAGAAATTATTCAGATGGCTCGAGACTTTTGGCGAGTACTGTATATACTTTATTATATTTGATATTACGTATAATTTATATATATATAATCAAATTCATAAATTATATATATTTACATATATAATTATATGAAGCTTCTTAGTTTTGACGATTTTTCTTAATTGGATTTAATTGGAATAAATTCCTTGACAGCCGACCTCTCCCTGGCGGAATGGGGTCGTAAAGAGATCACCCTGGCGGAGAATGAGATGCCAGGTCTTATGTCGATTAGAAAAAAATATGGTCCATCCAAGGTGTTGAAAGGTGCTCGGATCGCCGGTTGTCTTCACATGACCGTGCAAACTGCAGTGCTAATTGAGACCCTGGTGGAGCTTGGCGCAGAAGTAAGCATTAACAATTCTTAAGTTATGATTCAGACTAAAGATTAAGATTAAGATTGAATTGGAATCTAATTCAGAAGAAATTCTAAATCAGAAAGAAAAATAAATCTCAAGTTTAGTAAACTTTACATTGATTGATTAAATTTCAATCTGTTCTCAATCTCACTCTCACTAGTCTGATCACGACTTTAAGGTTTACATGTAAAAACTTTTAATAATCGTAAGACTGTCGGGTGTTCTAAGAAAACGTGAAATCGCAATTTTTATTGTGATTGATCGATTTGTTTAATCAGTTAAATTATAAACTAATTACAATACCATATTAGCATCTTAAGATATTATTTAAGATAATCTTGAAATATGAACACAGACTATGAATACTGATCTTAGTTGTAAATAACAAAATGCTGATGGAATTTCACGTAGCTATTTACTTAGTGGCAAGAAACATGCGAAGATAAATTCATAATGTACACGTAAATATTATCATCGTTGATCTTTTTATCTCTCCTGTAAATCTGAATATATCACATTCAGTCGAAAATATTTTTTTCTTGACGTGCTATTCTAATTATAGTAACTCTCATATTGTAATATTCATGAATAAGTATTAGAAATATGAGAAAATAAATATGAGAAAAGACCTCTTCTTTCCATTTCAAAGAATTTCTCGTTGAATACATTTTTACAAAAACCTTTGATAAGGATCTATGTATTTTATGAATTAATTTTTTATATTCAATGTATTTTTTCTGTGAATTAATATCTAGTTATAATTATTTATTTTAAAAATTATTTATTTTAAAAATCAGGATCATGTAAATTATTTTTGCTGTCAAGAAAAAGTCTTTTTTTTTTTAAACTTCTACGAATTTAAGGTGTGTGTGTGTGTGTGTGTGTGTGTGTGTGTGTGTGTGTGTGTGTGTGTGTGTGTGTGTGTGTGTG